GAAACTGAGTAATTTATAAGAAATAAATTTATTTCTTCCAATTTTGGAAGCTGGGAATTCGAAAGTCCAGGGAACACATCTGGTGAAGGCCTTTTCCTGGTGGCAGCTCTTTGGCAATGCAGGGTGTCTGTCATATGGTAAATGGCAAGCAAGAAAGCTAACATCTGGACTTCCTCTCCTTTTAAAGCCGTCAGAACCATGCCCATGACTACCCAGTAAGCCATCAATAGATTAACCCATTCACAAGGGCACAGTCTCCTCACAATCTAATCACCTCTTAAAGGGCCCATCTTTCAATTACCATAATAGGACTTCCCACCCTCAACATTGTTACAGTGGGAATTAAGTTTCCAGTGCATGAACCTTAGGGGTGCACATTTAACCTATAGCACCAGTGAACTCTGTTTCCAAGCAGACTACATGAACTGCTCCCTTTTTGCCAACAAAAGCTTTCTCTTTCCTTCCTTCACTGAATGAATTTGTGGCTTGCCACAGTCTGCATTCCAGATTATAATCTTATTTCTATTCCTGAATAAACTCAACACATTTGGGGATATTTTTCTCTAATATATTTATTGTAGGTTAACATAGTATATCATAGTAGCCACAAGTAAAAGTTACTGAAAAAGATTACCCTGTTTGTTGTGTCATCAAAACAAAAACTACTTCCATTAATTAAATTCTATGTGGGCCAAACCATTCATTTATTCCTTCATTCATTCATTCACTTGTCATTTATTGGAGAGCTTAGGTATGTAAAGCATTTTGGTAGGTGTATTAATTTCTTAAGGCTACTCTAACAAATTACCACAAACTGGGTGGCTTAAAACAACAGAACTTATTCTCTCATAGTGTGGAGGCTGGAAGTCTGAAATCAAGGTGCTAGCAGAGCCACGCTGCTTCTGAAGATGCTCAGGGAGGATCCTTCTTGGCCTCTCCCAGCTTCTCATGGTTGTTGGTGACTCTCGGTGTTCCTCGGCTTAGAGATGCATCACTCCTGTCCTGCCTCCATTGTCACATGGCCTTCTCCCCTGGGTGCCTCCATGTCCGAATTTCTTATAAGGACATGAGACATAGGGGATTAATGCCCACCCTAGTCCAATATGACCTTATCTTAACTGGATTCCAAATAAAGTCATATGCACAGGTACTGGGGGTTAGGACTCCAACAAATTAAACCATAACAATAGGATTATGAGGAATTTAAAAGAAACATAAGGTATAATATAAGCCTAAGGGTTTTAACCTCTATTAGGGGAGATAAGCCGTTCCGAGGGTGAAAGGCTGGGTGAGAGCTGCAGGCCAGGAGGGAGCCCAGAGCAGGGGAAACCATTATGGCTCATGTACCTCCATTTTTGCCACATTGTCAAACACCTCAGTGAATGTTCCCTGTTTTCTGTGTGTTTTTTGTCTAGGTCATAACACAAACAGAGTCGCATCGCCAGCGCCTGCTGCAGGAAGCAGCTGCCCACTGGCACACCTGGGCCATCAAAGTGCAGAAGATGAAGGCCATCTACCACATCCTGAACATGTGCAACATTGATGTTACCCAGCAGTGTGTCATCGCCGAGATCTGGTTCCCGCTGGCAGACACTGGACGCATCCAGAGGGCACTAGAGCAAGGCGTGGTGAGTGGCCGGTGGAGTCACATTGGCCTTGTCAGCCCCTCTGCGGGGCTCTTGAAGGTTGACAGTCTCCTAAGTCACATGAACTTCCAAGTGACTGGGTGGTAGGATTGTCTCCATTTTTGTACCTTCAGTTTTTAACCCAGTGCTAGGGCACATAAAAGAAACTCCTTTTTCTCCCAGTATTTGATAAATATTCAACATTTCTTTGATCTTCAGTGACTATATAGGGAGTGCTAATGTGCCAGCCACTGGGCTAGTTATGACTGCAGATGCACAGGACAGCCATGGATAGCATCCAGTACCTCACGGAGGTTACAGTCCCGCTGGAAAGACACATCACCAAGCACCTGTGACAGTAGCTAAAATGCGCGGACTGCTTGCTGTGGGCCCACGTGCTAAGCACGCTGCATCCTATTTAATTCTCACAGCCGTCTTCACTCCTCTTAGACATTCACTGTGCACCAGAAACTGATCTAGGGGCACACTGGCAGACCGAGACCCTGTCCTGATAGACTGTTGAGGAAAGGGAGACAGAGAGTAAGCATGTCCCCGACTAATGTGATTTCAGGCAGTGATGAGGAGAGGGCAGGGACTCAAGCAGGGGAATGGGGAGGGCTAGAGTGGGGAGTGGGGACTTGTCCTGATCACCCCATTAATGAAGGAGGGATCCCCTGCCCTAAAAAGTACAAGATGGGGGAGCACATGTCACTGACACTGGACAGATGAGATTGACAGCTGTTTTTCAGTCACGTGTACTCATAGCCTGGGGGAGTGGACACCACATGCCATGCAGGGCCACAGGGGGTTGCACTCAAGACCTTGGGAGCACAGTGAACCAGCAAGGCATGTGGGAAGGCTTTGTAGTGACAGGAGGGCAGGGTGACCTTTGGTTCCTGCAGGAGGATGTGATTAGCTGGTTTGACTAATCTCCCGGGGTGGCAGGGAAGTGAAACCCATCCAGGTGAGGACTGGGTGGCGTGCCACTGGGCCAAATATCTGGAATATTCCCAGAGGAATATCTGGGCGGGAAGCTTTTCCTGCTAGGTGGGGGCATATCTGGTGAGAGCAGGGGAACTCATGGCGTCTGTTGCCAGAGAAGGCCCCTCTGAGCAGGTGCCGTTGGAGCAGGTGCCATTGGAGCAGACCTCCCTGAAGGCCATGGGAAGATTGGGGCTGGGGTGGGAGGAAGGGCTTTCAGGCTGACTCATCTGAAGGTAAAGGCCTTGAGGTGTGAATGGACTAGGAGGTAGAAGCTATCTTTATTCCCTTTGTACAGATGAAGAAACTGAGGCACAGAGAGTACAAGTAACTTGACCATACTCCTGCAGATGGGACACAGGACTTGAAAGCAGACGTGTTTCTCTTAACCCCCATACCCTACTGTGTTTGCACATCATGGTCCAAAAACTGCCCAAATTCCTGGCGCACTTAAAAAGAGCATTCCACCCAGACCGGGCAGGGCAGAGGTGCTTCCTGCAGGAAGCGGTACATGACCGTGGAGGACTGGCCAGTGCGCAGGTGAAGAGAGGTGGGGAGGAGGATGAGGGCGGCTCAGGGAGAGGCTCATAGTGGTGTAAGGGGGCTGCCTTTATTCCCATGCTGGAGAGACATGGTCCAGTTTGCATTTTAGAAATACTTTGCTGCAGTGTGAAGACAGCAGGGCCATTGGGGAGGTGGTGACCGAATGCAGGGCTTTGAATTGCATGGAGTCCTGCAGTGATCACGAAGGAGTCAAACTTCCTACAAGGCTACGTAGGACTGGCTTTACAATTTCTTCCATCCCCTGAAAGAACAAAGGTATTTCCCCAGGAGTAGAAGGCCCTGCGTGGGTAGGAGATGGGGAGAAAGAGTGGGAAGGGATAGCAGTGTGATTGGCTGCATCGTCATCAACAATACGCAACTGTTGCCTTGTTGCCTGTGCCAGGCATTGTGCAGCTGCTGAGGTCATGTAAAAAAAAAGAAAGAAAAAGGCGCTACAAGGAGGTCACAATCACACATATGAAAAGATGTAACAAGGGTGTGAGGAACTCCTGCACTTGCTTTGTGACTTTGGGGCAGTTACTTAACCTCTCTGTGCCCTGGCTTCTTTATCTGAAATGGGGCTTGTTGTGATACCCACCTCATGGCATTGTGAGGAGGACTGACGCCTAGAAAAGGCCGAGAACCACGAGCACTCGTTCAGCTGGCGTTAAGTCCCACCGAGCGTGCAGACGGCAGGTACTGTGGGGTTTGGAGTGGCTGGAAGGCTCCTCGAGCAGGGAGCCTGGAGAACAGTTAAGACTCAGGCAAGTGGAGAAGAAGGTGGCAGCAGACTTGGCTGATTTCCATGGGGAAGTGGGGGGTGGGGTGTCAAGGTGCAAAAGGATGATTAAGGAAGCCTTAGAAGATTTTAAAGCAGGAGGGTAACCTGAATAAAGTAGTCCTTTCAGCCTGTTTTGTTTAAAGGGTGATTACAGAGTCTGGAGTGTAAGATAAATGGAAGGGAAGGAGGCTGGAGACGATGGTGAGGCTCGGGCTGGGCGGGCAGCGGCGGGAACAGGAAGGGATTTAGAAGGGAGAACCAGCAAGCTCTGACGGCCGATTGACTGAGTCAGGAGAGGGGAAAAACCCTGATAATGATGAATATCAGGAATCTGGGAGAATGGAGGCTCTGATGAAGAAGCAGGGAGGTCAGGGACGAGTTGTCGAGTTCAGTTCCAGGCTCCTGGGTTTGGTGGGATTGGTGAGACACTGGCGTTTGAAAGCCCAAGCGTGCAGGTAGGAAAGCGTTGAGATTGGTTGGGGGAGGGCCACTTGGAAGACAGGGATGAATGGGGAACGTGGATGAGCACTTGAGGGAGAAAGTACAGACAAAGGGAAGAGTAGAGGGCTTAGAACGGAGGCCTGAAGAACACATTTGCAGAAGCAGAAGAATGGAGATCGCCAGAAAATCAGGAGAGACTCTGTTCTCTTGATGGCTCTCCTGTGGCATGAATTAGATAAGTGTTAGAAGGGTATTACCTTTTTAAGAATGAGGTTATGGGGCTGGCCCGTGGCTCACTTGGGAGAGGGCGGTGCTGATAACACCAAGGCCCCGGGTTCGGATCCTATATAGGGATGGCTGGTTTGCTCACTGGCTGAGCG